CTTAATAGCTTTTTGTCCTCCCTGACCCTCAAAGCCAAACCAGCCATGAGAGCTGATGGGACACAATTTGTAAAAGTGACATTATCAGAAACAAAGGGGAGCAACAATACTTCATATTTGCATTCTTTAGAGAAAAGTATTTGAAAAGGCTGTCTGCTGTTTTGGATTGATGTTGTTCTCCAGAGGCTCAAAGAAGTAGGGCAGTGTCACGGGACGGCAAACTGTGGTGTATTTCAGGAACAGTTACATGCCTGACAACTACACTTCTGAACAGGTCCACCTTTTGATTTGCACTCAGAATGATTATATCAAAGAGTTTAGTTAAAAACACTAAAATGAAACCTGCAGACTTGCTTAAAGTGATTCGTATTCATGAGAAACTGGAACATCATTATCATTAAGTTTATTTCTTTCCCTGCTAAGCAAAGCAAGGCAAGGCAAGTTTATTTGTATAGCACAATTCAACAACAAAGTGATTCAAAGTGCTTTACAGAGACATTAGAAACAAAAACAAATAAAAAGCATGATTTAAAATTGATTAAAACAAGCAAACAAACTAACTAACTAATTAACAAACAAACAAACAAAGCAGTATATAAAATCAAAACAGATAAAATCAGAACAGTAGATAAAATCAATAGTTAAATATAAGTTTTGAAATTTAAGCTTAAAAGTGTGGATTTGGTGCTTTATTCAAATGCAGCTGAGAATAGGTGAGTCTTCAACCTGGATTTAAATAAACTGAGTGTTTCAGCTGATCTGAGGCTTTCTGGGAGTTTGTTCCAGATATAAGGAGCATAAAAGCTGAATGCAGCTTCTCCGTGTCTGGTTCTGACTCTGGGAACTGATAAAAGACCGGATCCAGATGACCTGAGGGATCTGGAAGGTTCATACTGGGTCAGGAGGTCACTGATGTATTTTGGTCCTAAACCATTCAGAGCTTTATAGACCAGCATCAGAACTTTAAAGTCTATCCTCTGACGGACAGGCAGCCAGTGTAAAGACCTCAGAGCTGGACTGATGTGGTCCACTTTTTTGGTCTTAGTGAGGACTCAAGCAGCAGAATGAGCTTCTGAATGAGCTGTAGTTGTCTGACTGATTTTTTAGGTAGACCTGTAAAGATGCTGTTACAGTAGTCAAGCCTACTAAAGATGAATGCATGGACTAGTTTTTCCAGGTCCTGTTGAGACATCAGGTCTTTTATCCTTGAAATATTCTTGAGGTGATAGTAAGCTGATTTTGTTATTGTCTTAATGTGTTTTTCTAAGTTTAGGTCTGCATCCATCACTACACCCAAATTTTTCACCTTGTTTGTGGTTTTTAGGTGTATAGATTGAAGTTCTCTGGTGACCTGTAATCGTTTTTCTTTGGCGCCAAAGACTATTACCTCAGTTTTGTTTTTGTTTAGCTGGAGAAAATTGTGGCACAACCAGTCATTAATCTCCTCGATGCATTTACCAAGAGCCTGTACAGGGCCTTGGTCTCCTGGTGACATTGTGATATATATTTGTGTGTCATCTACATAGCTATGATAGTTTATTTTGTTGTTCTTTATAATCTGTGCCAGTGGGAGCATGTAAATGTTAAACAGAAAGGGTCCCAAGATGGAACCTTGGGGAACTCCACATGTGATACTTGTCTGCTCAGATGTGAAGTTACCTATTGATACAAAGTATTTCCTGTTTTCTAAGTATGTTTTGAACCAGTTTAGTACAGTTCCTGAAAGACCTGTCCAGTTCTCCAGTCGTTTGAGTAATATGTTGTGGTCAACTGTATCAAATGCTGCACTGAGATCCAGTAAAACTAAGACTGACATTTTTCCACTGTCTGTATTCAGACATATGTCATTGAACACTTTGGTCAGAGCAGTTTCAGTGCTGTGGTTCTGTCTAAAACCTGACTGGAAGGCATCATAGCAGTTATTCTGTTTTAAGAAGTAATTGAGCTGTTGAGAAACTGCTTTTTCAATGATCTTACTTAAAAATGGGAGATTTGAGATCGGCCTGTAGTTGTTCATTTGTGTCTTGTCAAGATTGTCCTTTTTCAGTATAGGTTTTATTACAGCAGTTTTTAGTGATTCTGGAAACACACCTGACATTAAAGAAAAGTTGATGATCTGTAACAAGTCTGACTCTAAAGTCTTTGAGACCTTTTTGAAAAAAAAAAGGAACACCAAGTCTTGCCCTGATTGGCTGATATAAGTGACAACAGACCTGTCGCTGTGTCAGTCTGTGTACATAATCCTCACCTGGGTGTTGCTGTTCAGTGTAAGCAATATCATTTGGATTTTATTCCTCTGATTTATTTCTCTGTGGTTGTGCTCGTCTTCAGGGTCCAGAGAGGGACAAAACAGTATCAGTGGCCTTGTCAGTAGCAGAACGGTTTGTCTTGAAGTCTTAGCGAGAAGTAGGAGGTACAGCAGGGGGGATAGAAGCATCTTTAAAAAGGTTGAAAACTTCTGTTTATTGCTCACCATTTGTTAAACTAGGGAAGTTTAAGCAGTGCATGTGTGGATCTGCACACACATGCAGCATTTTCTTGCATTCCATGTATGAGCTAGCCTCAGTCAAAACAGTGACGACACATACATGACTGCCTGCTGTTTTGCATTACTGTGTATCTACTGTGATTCATGCATGCTGTACTGTGACTGAGATAATAGTGTATATGAGACACACTTGACAACAACATTGATCAGGATGTGAAAAAGCTACCAGATACAAGTTGTCAGCAGGTTATGGCTGACTAACCACCCTGCCTTACATCACTCTGGGCTAATACTGTAAAAAGCAATCATTAGTTTGTAATATCAGATCATTTGTTTTGATAAATACATAGTCCAGTATCAGAGTTCATATGAGCTATTTTAGCAGTAATTTTACACCTCCACTGTGATAGTATTTAGCTGTTAATCATGTTAGCAAGGAAGCTCGGGTTTGTTATTCATTCTTAATTTAGCCACGCTGCATGAATTTGGATGATGCGATTTTTGAAAATGACAGTTTCATTTATCGGGCGTTTATAAAATCGTATTTCTTAGGCTGGCTTTTAAGGAAGGACAAAAGATATGTATCAGTTGGCTGGGAAGAAAGATGGAGGTGGAAAGGATGTGCGAGCTATGGGACAAAGTTGTGAGACTAGGTTAAAAAGAGGTGAGGATCAGTGAGCAGGAGTGTGGCTTTGTGCTGAAAAGAGCACAACAGATTGTCTGGAGAGAAGGTGAAGGAAAGTCAGCTGAAGCAAGACAGTTTGTGGAGTTTGTGTTGGACTGTATGTTATGGTGGGAGCCTGGGGATTAGTGGACTTTGATTCCAAGTTAATACTAGCTAGTGTTTCTCACTGGTTTTTGGGTGGTGGAGTAAAAGGGATTGGTTGGTGGCTGTTTCTAATGTTAGCCTTTTCTTGGTTTTCTTACAGGCAGGGTAAAGACATGGTGATGAATGAGTGTGTGGGCCGTCTGCTGAGGACCAAGAGCTCAGGACAGTCAGACAGGGGCGTCGCAGCAGGAGTCACTGTGCTCGACAATCCTCTGCTGTTCTGAGATGTCACACTCCTGCCTGCACATACAAACCGCAGTGAAGTCAAAGTTCCACCTGCACCTCCACCTGTTCTTGCAAAAGCATGAAAACTGACAGAGGTGAGACAGCAGAAAAGTTTTTGTCTATTTTTTTGTTTTACTAAGTTAAGGAATTAAGTTAAAAAGAATGATTAAATAAATTGTTTCTTGCATTTTTGATTTAATGATTGTGTTTAGGATTATTTCAGAAACATGTTTAGAGGATCTTTGTAAGCCTGCATTTACTTTAAAAGAAGGGAAGCACTTTTTCATTCTACAGAAAAGGTGACACATTACAGATGAGTTCATAAAAAGTGTCACTGTCACTCTTTCAGGGCTCTGTCACTTTTCCTTTTTTTACTGGAACAGCATGGTAAAGTAGGCCTAGGCTGCCATCTTGTGGCAGTGTGTTGTTACTACAACATATGAAATTGTGTTTTATTGGAAATATAATTCAGCACTACTGAGCTGTTTGTAACTCTCTCAGTTACAAACTGAACCTGTTTTGTAGACATATAAATTACTTTTCTTTTTTTTTTGCCTGTCCTGTTTGGATCTTCAGCCATCAGAATTGTTGTCTGAAGGCCAAGAAAGATGCCAAGTGGATTTCGTTTACCAAGTGGATCATCATGGCCTTGCCATATTGGTCCATTTGATTGCCCTTTATTATAATTATGTATTTATTTTATTTTCGTTTTTTAAAGACGGGACAGACATGACTGGGGGAGAGGGAGAGAAAGAAAAATAGAGGGGAGAAGAGATGGTGAGAAAGGGGGGAAGAAAAAAAAGAAAAACAAACAAAACACCTGGATCACCTGTATGGAGATAAAAAACCAGTAGAGAAAACAAACAACAAAGAGCAACATAATAAAAACAACACAATCACAATAAACTAGCTAACAGTAGATGCTAAATATTACATGTTATTGTTTTTTGTTTTGTTTTGTTTTCTTTTCTTTTTTAATTTCACCTGTTGAGAATGAAAAAAGAAAACAAGCAGAAGAAAACGAGAGCAATAGAACAAACAACATCACGATGATATATGGGAATATAACTGTAAATACTAAATATTAAACATTATTGTGCAGCACATAAGATCGACAGTGCACAGTGTGCTTTGAGGTAGGAGCCAAAAAGGGAGTAGTTTGTGTGTGTGAGCACCCGTGTGTACACTGTGAACATGAACGCACTAGTTGACTCCAGTTATTTATACTGAGGTTTCTTTTATTTGTCTGTTTTTTAATAAGAAGAAATTCCAGTAATTTCATACTATCATTGTTCATTTTGCATTAATTATGAAAGTGCCTTTTTGTTTCTTATTCTTTGGCTTCTGATTGCTTTTCCACAAACTCCTGAGATAACTATATGTACATGGCAAAAATTTAATATGGACTGTTGTCTGGTTCTCAGGACGGTGCAGTGTTTACATTTGGCTTTGGTCAATATGGACAGCTTGGCCACAACTCGTTACAAAATGAACAGCGTCCTCGGCTTGTTGCAGAGCTCTGGGGGGCAAAGGTCACAAAGGTTGCATGTGGGAGGTAACATTTAATTATAATTATATCATAAATACTGTAATTGAAAAAGAAAAGCGTTTACTGCTGAGCGAACAGGAAACTTCAACTTCTGTCTTATATCTTCAGAGTGATCATACTGAGGTCCACCAACAACACAGATGTTTAAAATGTTTTACATTGTGGACTTTCCTTTTCATGCACTCTTTTCTCAATCAGCTGTCACACACTGGTACTGACAGAATCCAAGAAGGTGTACTCGTTTGGGTGTAATGAACAAGGGCAGCTGGGATGTGGAGACGAGACTCAGGCATCAGTGCCACTACCTGTGCAACTGCCACATGGTAAATACATTTATCTGAACAGAAGAGTCGATTCAATTTACAATTTCACAAAAATAACAATAACAATTAAAAATTTTTATTATTAGAGTAATAATTAAGGTGTGTCACATCCAACTGTATAGATAGAGGTTATAAACCTGACAAAGACACACACATATATTCACTATGCAGCAATAAAAAGTGCTACTCAGAGGTACTGAGTCTTCTGACACCAGTGAGGAGCTGCACTGTTGGGCTTTGCACTTGCTGCAGGTGTAACACAGATGAGCCAATAGCCCAATAGATAATTGGGTAAAGCTTTAGTTTAAAATAATTAGTAATTCTGACTATAAGGGCTTGAATATAATCATAGACAAAATGTTTGGCCACGCATCAAATACTGGAAAACTTAAAATAATCTAAAAATAAATGTCATGAACTCACGGCAGGTTTTAGGTTTTCTGCTGTATGTTTTTAAAGTACTGATAAAAAAAATAATTTAAGCAAATAAAACTGGACCTGAATTTGATCCAAATAACCGAGTTAACCACAGTTAACAACAAAAAGGTTTATTGCCTAAATGTCACAAATTAAGCCCACTGTAAGAGCAAGTCGCTATATCTTATATTTCTTTCTGGAACTGAAAAACCATCCCATACAGTACAGTTCACTCTTAGGTAGATAATTTCTCATCTGTTTTTATTCTAGACATTTCTAACATCTATGCAGGAGGAAACAGTTCATTTGCAACATGCACGCCTAATGAGGTACCAGCACAAATGCATACATTGCAGTAAGGATACCTGTGGGAGGATGTAAACATGGCTTTACCAGTTATATCTACTTGTGAGGTCATGTGTCTAAACCAAACATGAACCTTTGCTTCTTTCACAGGGCGCTGATCATGAGTCAGGCAGTGGCACAAAGAACAAGGTGACAGAACACTCTATTGATAACATGATTGACAAATGGGTCTCTGCATACAATCCAAAGCTGTGGAAAAATCTAAAAGAGTAAGTCTAACACAAAAGCAGCTGTTATTGTTGTTGTATGTAACTGGTTTGCTGCACAGCATGTACACTGTAGTCTTAGTGTTACTGACTAACCTCATGAACTCTTCACAGGGAAATTCACAGGATGCTCACATCTCCATCCTGTATGAATCAAAGCTTTCTTGACAGGAGGTAAGAACACCATTTATGAGCATGATCACGACTTCTTTATATCTGTTGAATTTAACATTTGAATATACACATTTGTCATTTTCTTCATGTCAGCAAAGATAAACATTTCCAAACTTCACCAAAGTACTCCGGTTTGGACTTGTCACTTGCACGGTGAAGTTTTGAGAAGCTGGTGATTCGAGATGTTGTTTTTGCAGAGGTATTGAACTGGAATGTGACTAACACACGTTTGTAACCTGATGAGTAATTAACTAAAAAAGTAAGAAGTGGACTTTAATTAAACCTTTAATTAATAATAAGTTGCATCAACAGGCTGAGACTGCTGTTCTGCAGCTGCTTCCATCTGTTGATATGAACCCTGTGGGAGTGGAAGGATTGAGGATCTTCCTGCTTCTCAATGAACGTCTGCATGCATGCATAGAGAAATGCAGATGGCAACAGAGCAAAAAGCTTGCTGATGCAGTCGCTGCTACCATTTAGGCAGACTTTAAGAACTTTAAAACCTTCAGCACGTCTATTAAAAGTGTATTTATTGGATTAGTATATACTGTTTAAATGCATCAATGTATTAAATGATAGCATTTTATTCTAACGAACACTCTAGACTTCTTAATCCATGATATCAGCCAGTGAAGAGCTGACTGTAACTTTGTCATCCTCAGGGGAATGGTGGTCCTCACTGTCACCCTCCGACACGATCAGATATGTTCAGGTGTGAAAGACGGCCCTCTCGTGGATCCCAATCTTTAAGTCTGCTTCTTGCAACGCTCAAGCCAGAAACGTACTGCTAATCCTCCAGCATATGTACTATGTCAGTATCAGAAATGATCAAAAATTAATTAAATGTATTACTGCTCAGCTTTTCAACAAAAAAAAGTTGGATTTTCACACAGCCAGTATAACAAATACTACCACTTCTTGTTTTAAGACCAATGAGATAAACAAGAAAATCCCAGAAACAACTTTTTGCCTCGAGCTTAGCCAGATGTTTCTAAAGGAGGATCTCAAACGTTGGCGAACAAAGTCAAAACTCAAGGTGAGGTCAGCTGACAACAAGTACTTTGAACCTGCTAAGATGGCAGTCAACCCAGAAAATGACTCATTCATGTTAACACACTGTTAAGCTCACTAACTGTTTATGTGGGTTGTTTTTTTGTTTTTCCAGAATGCAGATGATCTGCCTGTGATTCTTTGCAAGTACCCATTTGTGATGGATCTGAAATCAAAGAAACTGGTTTTTGACATGAATTCTGCATTCACTCAGGTAACTTCACCACCCTGTTACAGGAAAACAATAGCAGAATTTGTAATTTTCCAGTCTGCATTAGTGTGTTTTAGTGATCGCACTTTAAAGCTACACTATTCAGCAGTTTTATATAACAGACAAAACAACCATCTATAAAAAACAAAGGAGTCACAACAGAAAATAAACTAACAGAATACAATCATAAATCAGCAGCTGCCCTCAGTGCTGCAGAAGATTCCAACATTTTGTTGTTTTATTTGTTTTAGTTCTCTCAGCACTCTTTTCACTCACAGTTCAGGCAGGCGTCAGTTTCAGAACCTCAGAACAGAAGCAAGAGCCAGTCTAGCTCACGTGGTTCACCAGCTGCCTTATATATATCACAATTGGAATTTAGATAGAGAATTTATTTTAAAATCATGATGCTTTGTTTTGTCTAGCAGAATGAACAGCAGGCGCCTCCACAGATGCTTTTTGTTTTTCCTTACGGATGGATTCCCCAGTCAAAACCCAAATTTTTTAAACTGCACCTGCAGCGCGCATCACTTTTCGAAAGCACCTTCAGAGAGCTGGCAGCTGCTCCTCACAGCGACTTCAAGAAGCCACCTTGTGGTAAATATTTGATTGATTTTCCCCTGATGATTAATGCATAGCCATTCTTCTGCAACTGTTCTTTCCAGAAGCATCTCTAATATTTCTATTTCTCAGGTCCATTTTGATGAGGACCCAAACACCAAAGATGTCTACAAACGAGACCTTTTTCACCACCTGTTTCTTAAAATGGTGTCAGAAGAATCTGGGATGTTCATGCTCAATGACTCCAAAACCCTGGCATGGTTTCCCTCCAATGTAAGACTTTAAAACTGAGCCCACCAACTGTATAAAATTGGTTAAAGGATTGAAATTTTAACGATAAGCAATAATAGAACCAAAGTGAACTTTTATTAATGCAGGCAACAGAAGAGAGCAAGAGAAACTTCTTCCTGTTTGGACTACTGTGTGGCTTGGCCTTGTACAACCAGTGTATCATACACTTACCATTCCCACTGGTTCTGTTCAAGAAGCTACTCAGTTTAGAGCCGACACTGGAGGATATGATGGAGTTCAGCCCGACTGTAGGACGGTAAGTATCCATTTCATTTCAGTAACACATGCTGCTGCTGGTCCCACAGCCTGGCCCCGGACAAGCAGAAGAAAATGTATGGATGGATGTATTTTAAGTTGTCGTGTGTCAAAAGTTACAGTAACTTGTGACTGCTGTAAAATGTACATAGTTGAACTTCTTTTAATACAACTTTTTGTTTTAATTTCTTTAAAGGACTCTGCAGACCATCTTAAACTATGAAGATGATGTTCTGGATAATCTCTACATGGACTTTTGGGTATGTGTTTTACTATAGAAGATGATCAGTAATCTGTCTCATTCTCAGGTTTTGCAGCTAAACTCATCTGATTTATAACTAATTTACAGATAAACTGGGATGGAATAGATGTTGACCTGGATCCTCAAACTCCTGGAAAGCCACTGACAAGTCAAAATAAGTAAGCATATAAAACATGACGTGCTTGTGAGGTTCATCTGCAGCACCTTTGTCTCGGTGAAATATTTGCTGATTTAAAAATTTCCCTCCTAAACAGGAAGGAGTTTGTGGAGGCCTATGTGAATGGTAATCCCCGAACCAAATGGTGGACACCAGAGGTGAAGGGAGCCACCAAGCTGAAGAAGGAGTCCTATCGGGCTTGGTTAGCCTGTGGGACTCCGGAGGCAGCCGACAGGTATCGACAGGCCAAGCGGAATGCGGCTCGGGCAGTGGCTGAAGCAAAAACTCGGGTGTGGGAGGAGTTCGGAGAGGCCATGGAAAAAGACTTTCGGACTGCCTCGAAGAAATTCTGGCAAACCGTCAGGCGTCTCAGGAGGGGAAAGCGGTGCTCTACCTGCACTGTGTATAGTGCTGGCGGAGTGCTGCTGACGTCGACTGAGAAAATTGTCAGGCGGTGGAAGGACCTCGAGGACTTCGAGGACCTCCTTAATCCCACTGACGCGTCTTCCGAGGAGGAAGCAGAGTCTGGGGATGAGGGGAATGACCCGCCAATCTCCGGGGGCGAGGTCACTGAGGCAGTTAAACAACTCCTTGGTGGCAGAGCCCCTGGTGTTGATGAGGTCCGCCCTGAGTTCCTGAAGGCTCTGGACGTTGTAGGGCTGTCCTGGTTGACACGCCTCTGCAATGTTGCGTGGAGATCAGGGGCAGTACCTGTGGACTGGCAGACCGGGGTGGTGGTCCCCATCTTTAAGAAGGGGGACCGGAGGGTGTGTTCCAACTACAGGGGGATCACACTCCTCAGCCTCCCTGGGAAAGTCTATGCCAGGGTGCTGGAAAGGAGAGTTCGTCCGTTAGTCGAACCTCGGATACAGGAGGAACAATGCGGTTTTCGTCCTGGTCGCGGAACACTGGACCAGCTCTTTATCCTCTCCAGGATACTTGAGGGTGGGGTGCATGGGAGTTTGCCCAACCAGTCTACATGTGTTTTGTGGACTTGGAGAAGGCATTCGACCGTGTCCCTCGGGGTGTCCTGAGGGAGGTGTTGCGGGAATATGGGGTGTCTGGCCCATTGCTACGGGCCATTCGATCCCTATACAACCGTTGCAAGAGCTTGGTTCGCATTGCCGGCAATAAGTCGGACTTGTTCCCGGTGGGTGATGGGCTCCGCCAGGGCTGCCCTTTGTCTCCGGTTCTGTTCATAATTTTTATGGACAGGATTTCTAGGCGCAGCCAAGTGGCGGAAGGCTTTCGCTTTGGTGGCCTCAGAATCTCATCTCTGATTTTTGCGGATGATGTGGTTCTGTTGGCTTCATCGGGTGAGGGCCTCCAGCTCACACTGGAACGGTTCGCAGCCGAGTGTGAAGCAGCGGGAATGAGGATCAGCACCTCCAAATCTGAGGCCATGGTTCTCAGCCGGAAAAGGGTGGAGTGCCCACTCCGGGTCGGGGATGAGTTCCTGCCCCAAGTGGAGGAGTTCAAGTATCTCGGGGTCTTGTTTGTGAGTGATGGGAGAAGGGAGCCGGAGATCGACAGACGGATTGGGGCTGCAGCTGCAGTAATGCAGACGCTGCACCGGTCCGTCGTGGTGAAGAGGGAGCTGAGTGTAAAAGCAAAGCTCTCAATTTACCGGTCGATCTACGTCCCTACCCTCATCTATGGCCACGAGCTGTGGGTAGTGACCAAAAGAACGAGATCGCGGATACAAGCGGCAGAAATGAGCTTCCTCTGAAGGGTGGCTGGCCTCTCCCTTAGAGATAGGGTGAGAAGTTCGGCCATCCAGGAGGAGCTCAGAGTAGAGCAGCTGCTGCTCCACATCGAAAGGAGCCAGTTGAGGTGGTTCGGGCATCTGACAAGGATGGGCCCTCCTGGGTGAGGTGTTCCAGGCATGCCCCATTTAAGTTAAAAACAGGCGATTCACAAAAATTGCGGAAAAATCTTCACCTGTAAACTGTAAATTGCGAATTCTAGAGCCCCGGGGCAGACCCAGGACACGCTGGAGAGATTATATCTCTCGGCTGGCCTGGGAACGCCTTGGAGTTCCCCCGGATAAGCTGGAGGAGGTGGCTGGGGAGAGGGAGGACTGCTGCCCCCGCGACCCGGCCTCGGATAAAGCGGATGAAGATGGATGGATGGAAATGAAAGATTCTTCATAGCCTCGTTAAGCCTTTAAAAAAAAGCCCTAATTCTGTTTTTATTATGCTTGTTCAAAGTACAAAAACGTATGCCAAGGAAAGTGGGCCAAAATTCCTCCCAAAGCTATGTAAAGATTCATTACCAGTTATTACAAACACTTGACTGCAGTTCTTGCTGCCAGGATGCTTCCACCAGTTAATACATTTAGAGGTCAATTGCTTTTTCACATAGGGCCAGCTAGGCTTGAATATTTTTTTCCCTTAATGAATGAAATTATAAATTAACAATTGTGTTTTGTATTTACTTTTTACACATAAATGTGACAAATATGCAAAAATACTTTTTCCTGTGATGTGATGATGATAAGATGTATGTAAAAGTTTTCAAAAAAAAATAAGATAAGTAAAATTATATTTTCTTTCCATTGTTGTTCTTCAGGGTTCCTGACTGGTTACAGGAGAGCTCCTATTTTTGTCATTGACCAGGTCAAGATGAAGGTTTTTGCTATTCAGAGCGGCACCTGTGATCAGCACTTCCCTGAGTCAGAGACATGTCACTCTAATCTGTATCTGCCTTTTTACTCAACTAAGGAGATCATGTGAGACAGACTGACAGAGGCCCTGCTAGCAGATACAGAATTCACACTGTGATGGTGGATCGTATGCAGCTCTAAAGGAGCGTGCACTGTGTCTGAGCCGAGGAGGAGGGATGAGATTTATTTTTACTCTTGGAACTCATCTTTTTTTTTCCTGTGGTACCTCAGGATAATTTACACTGTATTACAATAATATTACACTATAGCAAATGCAAAAAATTCAACATCCCCACATAAGACAGCTGTGTAACAGCATCAGCATCATAAGGCACTTTAGAATTATCTGACTTTTCTTAATATGTCATAATTTATCCAATAATTTAAGTTACTGCTGCATTATAATTCTTGTGAATCAAATCTAATTTTTATGCTCAGACAAACATGAACAGGAGAATGTATTGCTTTATAACTACTATATTGCTATAAACATCTGACTATGTAATACAATCCAATAGAGCACTTCTGTATTATTTATCACTTTATTCTTTGTGTTTTGTTTAATTCTGGTGGGGTTGAATTATTTCCAATAACAAATCTTTAACATATGTAACATTGGTTATTTGTTGGAACAATAAAAATGTGTATTTTACACTAAACATTGCTTACCTGGTGTCAGTAAATCCCTAATTACTGCAGTCTGAGGTTTCCTTAACACGATTTGAAGAAGCAAGAGTACAGTAGTACAATAGAGTCACAAGTGATGAAAGCTGGGACATATATTTGAAAAAAAAAGATTTCATGCTATAGATAATAACAAGTCATAACTTATTATGATCTAATCTAATAACTCTACATCAGCCTACAAAGGCAGCTGATCTGTAAAGTCAGCTTACAGAAATATATAACTGCATATCATCTACATAGAAACAAAGCTTTATTACATAAACTCTTTTGTGGCCAATGTGAAGCATCTAACAGAAAGAGGTCAAATGCATATCCTTGAAGCACACCACTAATTTTCAGGTTTCTACACAATGAATTACCATGGGCCAAGTAACCACAGTAAAATATCAGTGGCAGAGATATAAAGCGACCACTCTTTAAACAAAATGGAACAGAACAGTTCATGATTTGACCAAAGTGTGGATGTAAATCACTACTTTTATCTTCCAAACAGGAAGGAGTTTGTGGATGCCTACGTGAATCATGCCTTCAACACATCAGTGGAGAATGTGTTTCAGGAGTTCAAGAGAGGCTTCTTCCTGGTGTGTGAGCAGGATTTGGTGAAACTCTTCAGGCCAAAGGAGCTGCAAGAAGTGATGGTGGGCAAAGACTTCAGTGACTGGGAAAAGCTGAAACAGATAAACAGCTGTTAGTGATACAAAGATGTAATTTGTCTGCAATTCTTTTATCACATCCCATTATTGTGAATGAGTTATCTTTGGTATATCTAACTGTACAAAAGGCCCCGTAGTTATGGTTTTATTCTGTTCAGTTGTTAGTTCACCTGTAGTTTTTAGAGTGGCCAGTAGAGGTCACCCCACCGCTTTGTATGAGAGACTATGTCCAGGGAGAAACGTGGGCAAAGCACCTGAGCTTTTCTGCTCCAGATTACCGGCAGAGAATTGGTTATTCCGTGAGAAGTGTGCATTAATGAGCAACAGACCACACACACACACACACACACACCCCCATGCCCACGCACCTAAACCTGTATGCAATACCTGCTCCTCTGACAATCCCTGTTACCTTCAACTGTGTGAAGTCAATACAAGAGTCTGCACTATCCTCGGTGTCTTCATTGTCTCCCTTCTGAACATTCATCCGGGCCTTGAGCAGTGTTCTGGCCGACACTCCGGGGAGTGGTAGCTGCAAACCTGAACAAGCACCTTACAGTCCTTCCAGTACAAGCTATCTACCCAACATTAATGGTCCTTCGAGCCGGATATAAGCTGCTTCTACCCTAACAAGATGGATGATATTCAGAACTTCTCAGCTCTTGGTGCGCGCCCACGGCGTAATGTACGTCGTCCCCTCCGCTATGAAGCTTATGAGACTGACTTCCCCGGGCTTGGTGCAGGTTACCAGGAGGAAAGTGGGACAGGAGGCGACAACCGTTCTTCCCACCATCCTCCGTCTGATCCCTCTGATGACGGCTCACACGGCCATGTCACACCATTGAGAGCAGAGTTAGAAGATATACAGCGTGAAAGGTTCCTGTTCCAGCAGTCGCATGACGAGATGAGAGCCGGGCTGGCTAATTTCCAGGCCCTTCATGCTAGTTTGCTGCAGTTGCTGGACCGTGCAGAGAGTCTGCAGCTCAGTCCACCGCCCAGAGTCCCTGCTGTTCATCTCCAGCCACCCCCTGCTGAAGAGGAAGAGGACTGGCCTCCACCACCTCCTCCTGTTGTGTTCAAGGAGGAGTCTGTCTCCAGCCAGGGTCCAGTTGCGGACCGCATCGATACGATGCTGAAAGAGCTCCAGGATCTGAAGAGGGAGTCTATGGCTGCACAGGAGAGTCAGATCATCCCCCCACATGAATCTAGGCCAGGGTTCACTTCTCCTCAGCCAAGGATCACCTACCCTCCAGCGCCGGCTCCGAGAGCACACCCCCCTCCATTGCAACCACTGCCAACTCCACCCCCGTCCTCATCTACTCCTTTCTTGACCTACAGGGGGCCTTGTCCAAGCATTCCCAAGCTCTCACGCCATGATCCTGGGGAATTTGCTCGTCTAAAGATGGCGCTAGAGAACTTATTGCCCCCGGAGAGTTCAGAGCTCTTCAGGTACCAAGTCTTGTTAGATCACCTACACCTGGAGGAAGCAAAGTTGATAGCGGACGCTTACCTCCATTCTGCCACGCCCTTCAGTGACACTATGAACGCTCTTAACGACAGGCTTGGGCAGCCCCACCAGCTTGCCCTGAGAAGAATTGCTGCTGTCATGGACTCACCTGACATCCGCCGAGGGGATGCAGCCGCATTTGAGCGATTCTCTCTCCACATCCAGTCGCTCGTGGGCATGCTGAAGACTTTAGGCCCTGATGGGGAGGTCGAACTCCAGTGTGGCTCCCATGTGGCTCGACTCCTTAGTAAGCTTCCTTCAGAGCAAAGAGCTGATTTACGTCGGTGCATGTATAACCATTCTGGTCAGGCTTACACCCTGGATGACCTGGCTACCTGGTTAAAGTACGAATCCTGGTGTCAGGACTATGACGGCCTGCCCACTCCAGCGATCACCAGAGAGAAGCCTGATGTCAGACCAAGCAGACGCTCTGTTGCGGTTCTTCACAGTGGAGAGAGCTCACCCAGGTCACTAGGTACCACTCCAAACAAAGCTAGGCAGCCACCCTACTGCGCCTTTTGTGATAACCGTGCCCATCACCTGAGTCAGTGTCAGGAGGTCATCAAGCTGAGTCGCGAACAACTCACAGACTGGATAAAGACTAACAAGAGGTGCTGGCGTTGCGCACGCTCCCATCAGGCAGCACAGTGTACCCTCAAGAAACCCTGCAGCCTGTGTCAGGGTCGTCATCTGCAGGTCCTTCACGACGTGAATTCGAAGTCCTTGAAGCCACATGGCCCAGTGTCTGCTCCCCCACGAGAAGGTGAGAATCCTACGGGCGTCCTGTACCTCGATCGTCCTACAGAGAGCGGCCAAGTCCTGTTAAAGGTTGTCCCAGTCATCCTTCACCATAATGGCAAGACTTTGAGCACTCACGCAGTTTTGGATGATGGGTCAGAGAGGACTATGCTGCTACCCACCGCTGCCCAGAAGCTTGACCTTCAAGGCATCCCAGAGACACTTCCATTGCGCACTATCAAGCAAGATGTGCAAACTCTGCATGGATCATGTGTCTCATTTGAGATCTCCCCTGGTGGCAAACCTAAGCTGAAGTACAAAGTCCGCAACGCCTTCACCACCGCCCGTATCGACCTAGCCGAGCACAGCTACCCAGTGGAGTCCTTGCAGCGGAAGTACAGACACCTCCGAGGCCTGCCTCTCCAGTCCTTCAAGAAGGTCAAACCTCTCCTTCTTATTGGCAGTGACCACCCACAGCTCATCACTCCAACTGAAGCTGTCCGTCTTGGTCCACCGGGTGGTCCTGCTGCTATGCGCACCAGGTTAGGGTGGACACTACAGGGTCCCTCCAGCCTTATAGGTTCCTCTTCGCTGCCACAACAGTGCCTCTTCACGACTGCCCTTCCTCCCCAGGTGAGTGAGCTACTCAAACATGTAGAGAAGTTATGGCAGGTAGATGTTGTCCCGGTGCCAGAAGGCAAGGTGGTTACCCGTTCAAGAGAAGATAACTATGCAGTTAGCCTGCTAGAGCAGAAGACAGTTCGTGTAGATGTCGAGGGCATCCAACGCTATGCCACCCCCCTCCTTCGCCGCGGGAACATGCCACACCTTAAAGCTAGCCCTAACGCTGTCGTTCCCAGTTTGAGAAGTGTGGAGAGAAGGCTCCAGAAAGATCCAGAACGAGCTAAGATCTACCGGGCGGAGATAGAGAAGTTGGTCCAGGCCGGTTCGGTGGTTAAGGTGTCCCCCTCTGAGGTTGCTCAAGCAGATGAGTCATGGTACATCCCTCACCACCTTGTTAGCCACAATGGCAAAGATCGCTTGTGTTTAACTGTTCGTTCCAGTTCCAAGGCCAAGCCCTCAACGAACATCTTCTACCTGGGCCTACCCTGAGCGCATCGCTCCTTGGTGTCCTCCTTCGCTTTCGAGAGCATGCCGTAGCCATTAGTGGTGACATTAAAGGTATGTTCCACCAGATTTGCCTTCTTCCCGAGGATCGTTCCCTCCTGCGGTTTGTGTGGCGGGATCTGCACCCCGAGGAACCGGTGGCCGTTTATGAATGGCAGGTCCTCCCCTTCGGTACAACCTGCAGCCCATGCTGTGCAACCTTCGCTCTGCAGCGCCACGCCAGGGACCACACGGAAGGAGATGATCCGCTATGTCACTCTGTGGGACAGTGCTTCTATGTTGATAACCTTCTCCAGAGCGTGCCAACCCCTGAAGAAGCCCGGGACCTAGTGGACAGGCTAAGAGCCCTTCTGTCTTCTGCTGGATTTGTCCTTCGCCAGTGGGCCAGTAATGAACCCAGCACCATTGGCCACCTACCTGAAGACCTCAGATCCACAAGTGCAGAACTTTGGCTCACTCAAGACAAATCAGACACCTCTGAGCCAACTCTGGGCCTTAGCTGGCACTTCCCCATGGACACCTTGGGTTACAGACACCGCAAAATCAGTTATGGCGCCCCCACCATGCGGAATATTTATAAAGTTCTCGCAAGCCAATACGACCCACTTTGCTTTATCCTACCGTACACCACCCGAGCCAAGATGCTGGTGAGGCGCCTTTGGGATCAACAGAGGGGATGGGATGACCCGCAGCTTCCACCAGAACTACTCCAGCAGTGGAAAACCTGGGAAGAGGAATTGCTGTTCCTTGCACAAGTCCTGCTTCCTCGCCCGTATCTCCCAAAGCACATCATGGAGGCAGTTAGTGAGAGAGAGATTCACATATTCTGTGATGCATCAGAGCAGGCTTATGGCGCAGTGGCCTACATGAGAACAGTGACAGGTGATGGCAGCTCACATCTAGCCTTCCTGATGGCTCGCTCCCGTGTTGCCCCTAAACGCATTCTCTCCATGCCTAGACTTGAGCTGTGTGGTGCCCTCTCCGGAGCTCATCTTTCCCGTCTCCTGAGAAATGAGCTCACTCTGGACATAAAGAGAATAGTGCTGTGGTCTGACTCCACAACTGTACTCACCTGGTTGAGGTCCCAGTCATGCCACTTCAAGGTCTTCGTCGGCACCCGCGTGGCTGAGATCCAGGAATTAACTCACTCGCACACCTGGCGCTATGAACCCCGCAGATGATATAACCCGGGGGAAGTCCCTTCTCGAGCTGACCAGACCCAATAGATGGAGTCAAGGGCCTCCTTTCCTGCTCCTAGGTCCAGAACAGTGGCCTCCAGAGCCAAGTGGCACCCTGGCTGAGCCTCCAGGCCCATCTGAGCTCCGTAAAGAGACCTTTTGTGGATTTTCTACCACCTTCGACCCCGCCACCTCGAACTTCAGCAAATATGACACCTGGACACAGCTGCTGGAAGCTGCTATTACGCAGTTGCATGGGGCGGCCAAAGGCGGTGGAACTTCATCGGCTTATGACTATGTTCGAGCAGAGATGAACATCCTGAGAGAAGCTCAACAGGAGAGCTTCCCTGAGGAGTATCGACTTCTTAAGCAGGGGAAATCCATCAGTCGCAGCAGTCGTCTCCTCGCACTATCCCCTGAGTTCGACCACGAGAATGAGGTCATCCGTGTAGGTGGACGTCTTCGCCGCTCTGAAGATCTCGCCTTTA